AATCCTCCAGCTTCAACCTCTTGAATACCTTGGGTTACAGGTGTTTGCTACTGCACTTGGCCACCACCTGTCTCCTTGTGAGCCAGTCCCAGAAGGTCTCTAGCATCATTTCTGTATATTTTATTGACCAATGCAGTCACAAAGCTTGCTAGACTCAAGGTGAGAAGACATGGACCGCAGTTCTCAATGGGAGAAATGTCAGAACACCTGTGAACCACTGCAGAAGATGGGATGGCATCATGGGAGCAGGCAGGGCCATGAGAACCCTGGGGCTGTCCTCCGATCACCAGCTAACCCTGCTGGGTACTGGCTAAGCTGTCACTGAGTCACTGAATCAGCCCACAGGAGCATCTTCAAGGTTTTGAAGCCTTGTAAAGAATTCATGTTCCCTAAACCTTTCTTCAGCAAAACACTACTGGGGCTCCTCCAGACCTGTAGGAAGCAGAGCAGGTGTCTACATTTGACCGTCCTTATACTTCCTCTCTGCTCTTTTCCTATGAAGCTACATCCAGCCTTCCTCTAGCCCAATAGCTGGACTTCCACGTACCCCTGTAACCTTACCTACCCCTGAGTCCCTGAGCACCTCATTGAAAGTCCTTATATTATTGACTTGGGCAGAGAAATGTGCTATTAGCGATTTAATCTCCACATGACATTTCTCCCTAATTGCAAGTCACAGATGATAATTAGCTACTGCTAATTCCTGATAATTAACAAGCTAATACTTAGAGGTAATGACACCAGGTAATCATCTTTAAAAACTCAAAGCTACTGAGCTCCTGAACACCGTTTCCAAAGGGTGACCTTGCGTCTTGGTATCTCCAGCCAGGAATTAGCAGTAGCCCTGCGTTTTTGTTTCTGACAGCAGTGGTTGAGAATTGACCTCTCTATTCTTAATTTAATTTTCCTTTCTGGCTTTAGAATAAAGATTCTTTTGGAACCTTTGTTGAGTATAGAAAAGTATACAGAGCATAAAACATATAAATATAAATATAAATATAAAATATATAATCTTATTACCTGGAAGTATTCGTCATCGACATTTTGGTTTATTTATTCCCAGTCTCATTTTTCACAGAGGCTTACATTAAATGCATGGTTTTACAAATAGATTTGTTCAGTGAACATTATAGGGTAAATATCTTCTTGGGTAGTGGCATTTTACTAAAAAAAAAGTCTGCTTCTCCATCAGAAAATTATATGAATGTAGAAGTGGGCTGCGAATCACAAGATGGAAAAGCATCTCTGCAAAAGCAGAGACTGAAGCGAGTTCTCCTGCTTACGCTGGGACTAAGACTCCATTCCTGAGCCGAGCATCTCCAAGGCGCCTCCTGAAGACTTTGGGTGGGCAGATGTAGTCACACAGCTGTAGTCACATGGGTGGCAAATGGCTGGACAGCCATAAAATAAAATACAACGGTGCTGTTTGTAGAGAAGGAAAATACAGATACATTCCTCTTTCTGTGTTATTTCCCATGCAATACAGAGAAAATACTATTACATAAGCATTCACAATAATCACCTGCCAAGTCCGTCTCTCCAAGTAGCAAGTGGGGTGATCTCAGATACTCCCATTTCCTGGAACTTCATTACCGTAAGTGAGAATTGAGGGGAATATTCTTCCTGCCCCCTACCAGGTGGTTTTCTGAATCAGAACTGCTGAGTCATGGTGTGCCACCATGAAAGTGATGCCAGAAGGTCTGTTCCATGGTATCCCACAGGAATCCCCAAAGCATAAAGTGATAGACCTTAGGCAGCACATCGCCATTTAGAAAATTTTCCAAATATTGTGTCATATATTTCTAGATTCCCTAAGTGACCTACTTCATCCCAACACTCTTGAAACCCACTTATTTCTTTAGTAAAGGACAGTATCATCCAAACCCAGGTTTTGGAGTTAGATCCAGTTTAAATCTACAATCTGTCCCACAGCAATGATTGCTTGTAGACTACTGGACATCTTCAAACCCTTGTTTCCTCATCCATGAAATGGGGCTAATTCTGCCCCCTCATGGGTCATTATGAGGTCCTGGTAAGATATGGTGCATAAAGGGCTTTGCACAATGCCTGACAGTTAACCAGTCCTCAGTTAACAATAGTTATTCATAAATAAACATGATGACACAATGCATAACTATATAGAGTACATTAGCAGCACACATAGCATTTTTTTTTTATCAGTACCAAAGATCGAACTCATGACCACAGGCTTGCAAGGCTGGCATTTATGCTTTGAGCTAACCGCTCAAAGCCCCTACACATATAGTTTTGCGATGAGTAGTTTTCACCCCACGAGGAGTATCACAAATCTATTACATACTCAGGAAATAAGACTCTTGGGGTTTTCCTAAGAGCGCTGCAGGCTTTGAGGTCTGCTGCTGTAGAGCTGGACAGGCAAGGTCACCTTCAGCCTCTTCTTTTATGATTTGCTTTTATAGATTCAGATCCAATCCTCTCTCCACTTTTATCTCTCCAAATCTCCAAGACATGAATCTTTCTCATCTCTTTGCCAAGTCTAACATTAAAATTGGCTGTGCAGCCTCTGCCAGGCAACAGCTGCTGTATTTGAGGAGCTCTGTCTGATCCGTCTGCTCCACAAGAAGCAGGCTTAGTCCATTGTTGCCTTGTATTAAGGCCTTGCACCAGGCTCAAGCTTTAGATTTCCAAAGCATAGTTGTAGCTGCCTTTGTGTAATTGCCAGCAACCGTGTGCAGCGGGGCAGGATAGGTCTTCCTGCTCTTTGCAGAAAGCAGCATGGTTCCCAGAGTAGATCTTGCAGAATGGGTGTCATTTTGTGGTGAAGGAATTTTGGAAAATTCCAGAATAAGCAAAATGAAACATACTTTAACATAATGTGCAATGGGATTATTCAAGAGTAAAAAGGGCCAAGGATTTAGCTCAGCAGCATAAGCACCTGCCTTGCAAGCACATGGTCGTGAGTTCAATCTTTAAAAGAGTTAAATGCAGTACTTCTCGAGTTTCTTTTTCTAACCAGAATCCCCTCTCTTTTTTTGGAATATTCCATAGAACTATCACTCTACCTTGACCCTCTTGTGTGTAGAATAACTTGGTGTTTCCTTTTTCCCTTCTTCCTTATGCCAGTGCATGGAGGGATATGGTCCCTGCCTTACTGACGTGTTGTCCTTGCAGAGGTGACATGCGCATGCGCACACCTCCAGCAACCTTGCATGGGGTTCCTTCTGTAGATCAGCTCTCACACAGTCAGGGGTTGGAGTACAGCTAGTGCTGTGCAATCGGGGCCAGCACACCCCACTTCCAGGAAAGAGTGCTAATCTCTCCCGCTCTTCCTTCCTAAGACAGCTCAACTCTGTTGTCAAACAGCTTCTGTCCCTACTCAGCTGTCTCAAATATCTACTTGTGCCTCATATCTTAGCTGAGACATGACACCATCCTTGGGTAGGGCCTCTGGGACATCAACAGGATCCTAGGCTTGGCAGACCTCTGCAAGGCTGCTGTACCTTTCTCCTGAACTTGGCAACATCCTCTTTCAAAATCCCTGGCTTTATGATAGTAAAGCCTAGCTCGTTGACACGTGACACTCACGGGCTGCATTGCCCAGGCCTACACTCTCCTGTAGGTGGCTCATCACTTATTTGCTTGGCACAGTGCTTCTCAGAATTCAGCAGGCAGACAGCTCACCAGGATGGTGTTAAAAATGTGATTCTGATTTTTAAAGTTGGAGACTCTCTAACCAACTAACTCTGCTTTTCTGACCAACTGATGCTGCTGGCCCACGGACCACACTTGAATAGGAAAAACCAATCATTACTTGAGGTTTATATTAGTATTACGTGGGAGCATTTTAAATTAAAAATACCATTGCAGGCCAGGGAGATAGCTCAGCAGCACAGTGCCTGCCTGGCAAGCTCGAGGGGTGAGTTCAGTTCCCAGTACCAAAAATAAAAAGGGCCAGGGATTTAACTCAGCGGCTTTAGCATAGCTGCAGAAGCACTTGCCTGGCAAGCACAGTGAGGTCGTGAATTTGATCCCTGGTATCAAGTAAAATAAAATACCATTACTCAGGCCCTAATGGAAACCATCTGTACCCACATCTCTCTGAAAGGTGCCCAGGGATTTATAGACACTCCCTGGTGATCCTGGGTGTTGGCCAGAGCTCAGAACCCAGTGGAGCTTTGAGTTCTGGGGCTGGCATCACACCTGCATGATTTCTCCACTGTCTCCCTGCTCCCAAAAAAGTGCTCGGCTTCCATAGACAGCAGTGAATGAGCTTTCAACTTCTCTCTGACTGGTTCACATCTGGCTCCTGCCAATGTGCTACTCTGGGCGGGCAGGACTGGATGCATCTCTAACCAGATGGATTAAGGAGGCCCACTGAACTTGGCCTGTACTGTGGATTCTTTACTGTGTCAGCCCAGTGCTACCAGTGATTAGTCACTTGAGTTAGATACTTCCCCCAAATCTCCTTCTCTGCCCCCTCTGCTTCTTCACCAGGTTGCTGCCACCTCATGTCTGGAACCTGATGCTGCCGGACAGCATCTGAGCCTCAGAATCCTTCTCAACCCAGGAAAGCCCAGCCAACAGTTATCTTTTCCTTTCTTCCTGTCTGTTGCATCTATTATGGCCTTCACTGGGCTGCATTCAATTGCTTTGGGAGTGTTTATGTTTCTTGTAGATGGAGAACTCTTCAAGGGCAAGCAAAGAGTCAAATTCATCTTTGTAGTTCCTATGTCTGCCTCAGTGGTTTGCTGAATGAATGAATGATTGAATGAATGACTAATAATACACAGCAGAGAGGATTCAGAGAAGACAAGGGGATCTTTCAGTGACTTGAAGAGAAAGCTGTGGGTTTCCTGCAAGGCAGAGGGGTAGCCCCTCTGATGCAGTGGCCTGGCACATAGACTTGGTGGTTTCTAATCATCCACTGGGTTGGGAGGGTGACTTTCATTACTATCCGAGGGCCTCTCTGCTCAGCCTTCTCAGGACCATCGTCACCTGCTCGCTCTCCTTTTTCCCCCCAGAGCCCACTCTGTGCTGCTGGCCACCCGTGAGCATCCAACGAGATGAGCGCCTGTGGGAGGAAGGCCCTGACCCTGTTGAGCAGCGTCTTCGCCGTATGTGGTCTGGGCCTCCTGGGCATTGCTGTCAGCACTGACTACTGGCTCTACCTGGAGGAGGGAGTAGTCCTGCCTCAGAACCAGAGCACCGAGGTCAGGATGTCCCTGCACTCAGGCCTCTGGCGGGTCTGCTTCCTGGCAGGTAAAGGTACCTGGGTTTGGGGATGGCCCTGCCTTCAGGAAGGCCTGACAAGAGGTTCTTCCCTGGGGAGACAAGCTGCAAGGCAACGGTTTGCCCTGGGGGGTTTTCAAAACCCTAGGAATTTCGGGCTGCACCAGCAGCCCCATTTCAAACTCTGACTGTGATTAGCAACAGCCATTTGACAAGCCGAACTCCTCTAGGACGGCCTTCACCATCTGCCTCCAGGGCTGCAGGAGAATCACCTGACATGGGTTTCAGATACTCCTGCGCATTTTGGTCCTGGAACTGTGGGTCTCCTGCGGTCCTTCCAACAGCGCTGCAAGGCAGACTTGTTGTTTCTGCTTTACGATGAGGAAACAAAGACCTGGCAGATTAGGTGACTCTGCCTAACTCAGCTGCACTTGGACCCACTAGTTTGCAGAGTGGGCAACTCTATTTTTCTGTTCCACTGTCTGGACTGACACAGAGTAAACCCAAATGCAGGTCCTTCCAGCTCTGTTTCGATTCTGCCCACCTATACCTCCATCAGCTCCGCTGAAACTCTGGGACTTGCTTCTCCAAGAGCTCTGCCCTTTATCCCTTTTTCATGGTCCCACATGAACCCACACATAAAAGCCCCCCCCCCGGGTGCACGGCCATGAGTCTGGCAGTAAGACTCGGCTGGTCAGGACAAACACAGCAGAATCACTGGGCTCTGCCTGTGTTGCCCTATAACCCACGTGTGCTTGGGAGGAGGCAGGATTGCTCCTCCAGGTTTTATGGCAAGGCTTTGGGGATGGGATGGTGGCCGGGTGAAATTTAGCAGGGGACACTTTGGAAATGAAGAGCATCCATCTCCGCCCTTAGCTCCCACTGCTCCAGTGTGGCCTTGGCTTCTGCTTATCCTCAAGTGTGAAGTCACCAAGACTTGGTTTCTAAAGTGGCTGACAAAGCTTTGGGGCTTTGTTCAAAGATACCCACATTTGTGAGTCTAAGTCAGCCAAGTACCGTCCATTGTGGGTGTGGAGTCGCAGTGCTGACCTCCCTCCTGGAAGGACGGGATCTGAGGACACGTTTCTCATCTATGCTGTAGGGCACCAGCCAGGGCCACCATCAGGAAGGACCTGATCTGGGTTTTCTCTGTGTCATTTCTTGGACAGTGGGACAGAGAAGCTGCTAAGTATTTCCTATCCTTCGACTTCCTATGGTTTATATCCAGCCTAAGTACAAAGATACTGCAGGTCAGAGATCCTGGAAGCTTTTGGAAATCCTGTTTGAGCACACTAAGCTCAAGAAGAGCTTCACTATGTATAACTCTCATCTCCACAGGTGAGGAACGAGGACGCTGCTTCACCATAGAGTACGTGATGCCCATGAACTCCCAGCTGACGTCGGAGTCCACGGTCAATGTTCTAAGTAGGTGTCTTGAATGTTCCAATCTGGCCCACTGATTGGACAGAGAGGAGCAGGGTAAAGCAGGGTGACCAGCATATTCTCAAGCACTAAAGCCTAGCTAGGCACAGTGGTGCATGCCTGCAATCCTAGTCCTCAGTGTTGGGAGACTGAGGCAGGAGGATCACCATGAGTTCAAGACCAGCCTGGTCTACATAGTGAACTCAAGATCAGCCTGTGAGACATAGTGAGACCCTGTCTCAGAACAAAACAAAAGCTAACACCTTAGCCTCAACTGGCCGTGCAGGCCTGGGTTCTCTAGAGCTTGCTCTTCCAATTAATTTTCCAGTGGAGGAAATGAGTTGCTGGAGTCTCATAGCTGTGACTTCAGCAATTGAGAAATGTGTTCATATCCAAGGAACTGAACCAAACTCTCTGGACTGCAATAAGACTGATTTCATGATCTTGACCTCATCAGCAGTGTTCTGACCCGAAAGTGAACTTGCAATATTGCGATACAGTTCTGATCCAAGTCCCTTGGTACTTGGTATATGAAGGAGTTGGTTCTGGAACCCATTGCAGATACAAAAAATCAAGAAATGTCTAAGTTCCTTATGTAATAGCATTATATTATATAATCTGTATGTATCCTCCCTATACTTTACATCATCTATAGGTGTTATATCACCCACTGCAATGTAAATGCTTTGTAAGTAGCAGCTACACTGTCTTATTTAGGGTGTAATGACTAAAAAGTCTGTACATGTTCAGGCCAGCTGCATCCATTGTAAGTGTCACTATACAGTGCACCTCAGCAACAACCCAGGAGGAATAGCAAAGACACTCCTATCACTTGGACAAAGACCAGACATTGTGTGCATGCATTGTGCGCGTGTTACTGAGGACTGAACCCAGGACCTACACACCAGAGCTACTGCCCCAGCCCATTTTTAAAATTTTATTTTGAGGCAGGGTCTTGCTAGGTCACTAAATTGCCCAACCTGGGCTGAACTTCAATCTTCCTGCCTCAGCCACCCAGACAGGCATGTACCACCATGCCTGGTTAGAAAAATTCTTTATTACATAACAGAAATGATGCCCATGTAATTACAAATGGAAGAAGCCAGTGACTGCTCTCTGTGCCGCTCCAAGCAGCCCCTAACACATAGAAATGAAGATTCCCCAGGGAGAGGCAGCAAGATCAGGTGACCAGGCCCTTCCACAGCTGCCACATCTGCAGACAAAGTAGATTCCCGGGGGAAAGTGCGGTATGCCTGAAGGTTATGCTGAGAGTTGAAGTCAAGCCTTCCTCCCCTGCCTCAGGAGCAAAAATCCTGCCTGCTCTGAGACATCCTCAGTCCCCTGTGGGGTGCAGGTCCTGGGAACTCATGCAGGAGTAACTCTGAGGGCTAAGTAAGCACTGCCACTCTCTGCCTGAGAGAAGGACCAGCAGGTAGAGCTTCTGGAGGCTGACAGCCTGTTCCTTTGTCCTCTTGATTAGAAATGATTCGCTCGGCCACGCCATTCCCTCTGGTCAGCCTCTTCTTCATGTTCATCGGGTTTATTCTGAGCAATATAGGACACATCCGTCCGCACCGGACAATCCTGGCCTTTGTTTCTGGCATCTTCTTTATCCTCTCGGGTAAGCTGTCTTGTTTTCCTTTCATGCTGCTACACTTTGATATTTAACTCCTGGACAATTCTGCTCTGGGAATTCCTGGTCACGGCTGTGGGTCAGTCCCTGATACTGCAAACAGGACAAGTCAAGTCGGTGACCCAAGAAAACTGAGTCAGAGCTGCAGGGAACTTCTGATAACCCCAGACCTACTCATGAGCTCCCAGAAGAGCTGAAGAGTTCTCTCTTGGAACCCTGGATGGCTGGCCAGGAGCCCTGGCTGGCTTTCCCTGGGCAGAAGTGGGAAGGGAACCCAAGGGCTCGCCTCACTCTGTACATCCCTACTGCCCCCCTACCCCCCGGTGGTGATAAGAATCCCTGTTGTTGGAGGAACCGTGTCTTCATGTTCTGATGAAAAAGAAATTCAGTCTGCCTTTGAGCAATGGTCCCTTGAGCCCTGGACCTCATCTACCCTCAGAAGATTGTCCCTCATCTACCATGTCCCAGTAGGCTGGGCCCATGAAGGCCCTGAAGCACAGACCTATTTTTCTGGACCAGCATCAGGCTATCCTTCATTCACTGAATCGCTGTATCTACCAAGCTCTGTTCTGGCTGCTGGCAGAGTGTGGAGGGAGACACAGACAAGTAGAGAAGAAAGAGGGCCTGAAGAAAACCATGCCCAGGGTCGGCACGGTCAGCAAGGGGTAGGAGCAGTGGTGGGAACTCAGAGCAAGGGCTGCTTGGGGAAGATGACCAGAAAGGGAACCAAGGGCTGAGAGGAGAGCAGGCAAGAAACAAGGCTAGCATGGGATGCAGGGCTGTCCTAGGGAGAAGAGAGGATGAAACACGGGGAGGGCAGGGAAGTATTAAACATCTTCCAGTGGACCTGAAGAGAAACGGGTGAAGGTGGAGCAGGGAAGGTGCTTGAGGTCATCCTATCGCTCCGAGGATTTTGAGCCAAGAAGTGTCATGGTTGGGTTGGATGTTGGAACATCCACTCTGGAGAATGGAGGACAGAAGGATACAAGAAAGGAAGTGGGAGACTCAAGAAGGGGCTGTCCCAGGAGCACAGGATAGAGGTGACAGTGGCCCAAACCAGAGATGACGCAGCAGAGTAATGGGGTGGTGTTCAAGGGCTGTTTGGGAGGTAAGCTCAATGGGAGTAGGATTGGGTTTTCCAGGGAGGAGTCATGGGTGAGGGTCAATTTTTCGCTTGGGTGCTGAGGAATGACAGTTCACATCAGCAATGTACAAATCACAGGAGAAAGAATATGTTTGAGCAAAGATCTTGAGCTTAGTGTGAAAAATGCTGGATTTGAGGTATCCATGTGATATCTAGAACATTTATAGAAGGTTGCTAGAGGTCAGTGTCTGGAGCTCATAGGAGCACTAGGACCAATGTAAAAGATTTGGGAGCCTGAGAACAGGAGTGTAAACCATGGACATGGATGTGACTACACCCTGGGAAGATATGGAGAGAGAACAATTGACTTGCAAGAAAAGAGTGACTCTTTGGGGGCATGTTTTTTTAGGTGTCCTGGATTGGCTGATTGGAGCAAGGAGACTGGGAAGGCAGAAGATGCATGAGTGGTTTGACGGATGGATGAAGGGATAGATGGATGGATGGATGGATGGATGGATGGATGGACGGACGGATGGATGGATGGATGGGCAGATGAATGGATAGGTAGGTGAAAGAAAGGAAAAACAGTTTTCGAGCACCAGGTATTCTGACTGACACCTGACTTCTAAGTCCCTTTCGGATCCTTTACCCAACATTTTCTTGTCAGCATAGCTTACGAACCAGGTAGCAGTCAGATTGCCTAATGCCCAAGGAACTATTCTGCTTTTTGCTTTCATGTATTCACCTGTCCACCCACCCATTCTGCCTTCTATCTGTCCGTCCACTTTTAAACCTACTCACCAACCCTCTTCCATCCATCCTGCCACTCTTTCGTCCATCAGTCTAATGTCCTTAATGCCATCAACCCAATTTTCACATCACTTAGCCTGAAAGGTACCGACCCAAGCTTACCTTTCCTTGTGTGTATATCACAATAGCCCAGGCTTTGGGATTTCAGCAGTGGGCTATAGGATCAAACATCCAGAATTGAGAGGACTGAGCTGGTCCACCTGAAACTCTTTAGTGCTAACAGTAGGTAGATGTATTTGGGGGCGGCAGTGATCCAATGTGAGTTAAGTACCAAAGGCTTGAATCAACCTATTTTCCATTAACAGTCATCTTTTGAGTTGCCCCAGTTTCAGAGAATAGTAGGAATGAAATTAAAGCTGAACAGCTCAACGCAAAGTAATTAATTATGTCTTGATTCAATTACAGTTTCTAACTGACGGGACTGATGCTTGAAGTTCATTTGCAGGATGGCAGCAGGATGGGTCCCAGTGGCCTCCTGGTCAAATGCTGGCTGGTATCTGGTCACACTCCCTTTACTTATCCTGCACGAAGATCCCAGGCCACTCCCTGTGGTCATGTGGGCTGCACAGACTTTGTCCCACGTTGGTAGACCACAGAGATGTGGACCGCCTGCTCCTGGAGACAGGTGTACACCCTGAGAACCCCGCTGAGGAAGTATCTTATTCCTCAGTATGGTCAAAGCCACTTGCTACTTTAGTGGTTCACATGAATGTAACCCAGGGAACTTTGAAGACAGTACAGTTGTCTGGTCCCAGCACAGCCAGAGTGAAAGAGAATGTACAGGGCTGGTGCTCAGGTAGGTCCATCAGACAAGTGTGGGCTACTGGGTGAGAACCACTGAGCGTGGCCCATGGCTCGAGAGGGTGGATGGACAGGGAGCTTTCTTACCTGCATCTGTCTACTGTGGAGGAAGTGCTGGTCTAGACATGGTCCTGAGGAGGCTCCTTCTCACTCTCAGTCTCCAAAAGGAATGCACTGTGACACAAGGCTGATGGCTCTGTTCTTGATTGACGCCACAGCAGCAAAATTTGGGGGTCTCTCTGCTGAGCTGAGCTGAGCTGAGCTTGCCCGTCTCTCCCTTCTTTTACCCAGGCCTCTCTCTCGTGGTGGGCCTGGTCCTCTACATCTCCAGCATCAACGATGAGATGCTCAACAGGACCAAGGATGCAGAGACCTACTTCAACTACAGATATGGATGGTCATTTGCCTTTGCTGCCATCTCCTTCCTTTTAACAGAGGTAACCTGCCCTGCTGCCCTGTGCCACCCTGGGTGGGTAGAGATGGGCACTGCCACACTGGGCCACTCGCTGCACATCCCTTCTCCTTCCCAGAATGTGCCACACTCTGGCCTTTCCAGGTCTCCTCCATGTGGGCCATCTCTAGGCCCACTCCTGCCCCCCACATCCACCCCACTCAGCATGTGTGCCTTCCTTGGCTGTGCACCACGCTGACCTCAGCAGAGCCCCTGCGTGAGCGCTCTTCTGCTTCCTTCTCACCGTAGAGTGCAGGCGTGATGTCAGTGTACCTGTTCATGAAGAGGTACACGGCCGAGGACATGTACAGGCCTCATCCTGGCTTCTACCGTCCACGTCTGAGCAACTGCTCTGATTACTCGGGCCAGTTCCTGCACCCGGACGCCTGGATCCGAGGCCGCAGTCCCTCGGACATATCCAGTGATGCCTCCCTGCAGATGAACAGCAACTACCCAGCCTTGCTCAAGTGCCCTGACTATGACCAGATGTCTTCTTCTCCCTGCTGAACCCTCCCAACACCCCCAGCTGGGACTGAGGACAGCCTAGAACCCCTTCCCTTCTGCCCTGCTGGGCCCTGAGCCCCGGGCCATCTCCTGCTTAGCCATGGTTACTTCACCTTGTTTTTCCCCTGCTTTTCCCAAAGCAGCTCTAGGTCGCACCCTGTTGGAGCCTAGAGCCAAGGAGCACACTGATTGGCCAAAACATGGTAAAGACCCGCCTCTGGAGTGCCAATCCAGCAGTGGCTCTGGGAAGCCTGCACCTCCACACCAGGAGGAAACCTTGTCCCGGTTGATTGTTTCTGAATTCCCATTTTGACAGTCCCAGCCAAGACCACCTCTGAGATGCCAAGTTCCTGACACAGACACAGCCAGGCACGGCTGCCTGCCAAGTGGCCTGGTCCTCATGTTCATGATCCAGGCGGTGAGGACTGCCGTTGACTCGGATACATCCTTTGTCCTTTCTTGTCACCCATCTCCCTCTGCAAAAGGCACCTGTCTGTGCACCCATTCCCAGGGTGTGGCCCCTTCTTCCTCTCAACCCTCCATAACTCAGAGTCCCTGGACCTGGGGCCTGGGTGGGGATCTGTGCAATGCTGATTAAGTCACCAAGAGGTGTTAATGGCTAAAGATGTCTAACACACTTGGCCCCTCGATGACATATTTAATGGGACCTTTACTGCCTTAACCCAAAGAAGTGACTCTGACAATGAGACTCTAAGAACTTGGTTGGTCTGAGTTTATAGTACCAGGCACTGTGTCCAACCCTGGGGGTACCATCCCTGCACACAAGGGCCACATTTCCCATCCAAGGTCTCAAATCTAATCACTAAGGGGACTCTGCCACCAAAGCAGAAAGCAGCTTTCACAGGGGCTGCTTAGGATTTGGAGCCAGATCGGGCGACACCTGGTACATGTTCAGCCTAAACAAGCCAGACTCAGAGTGATCCAGCTGCCCTCCCCAGGATGCTATGGACACTGGGGGGTTGCCAATTTAATCCTAAAGAGGGGAGCATCTGCTCCCTCGTTAGGTGACAGGTAACCAGTAGGAGGCCTCCAGAAGACTAGGTAGCATGAGGTCTGCTTTCCTGGTGGGAAACTGAGCCAGGAGGTTGGCAGCCCTTTCCATGAAGCCCCCAGGGGAAAACCAGCAAAGGAGGATCCACAACCAGCAGAGATCCCGTCGGTTTTCTAGGTGTCGGCTCAGCTTATAGTTTCCATTTTGAGGTTTTTGAATAGCAAAAACATGTTGTGCTCTGATCTACTTGTCTTTTGCTGTTTTTAAGACATCGTCAAGTCCTACATACACAAAGCCATGGAGCGCAACTCTGGGGCTCCAGAAACCAATAGAGGACCCCAGCCAGCCGGTGCCTCCTCAAAGGCACTGGGTTGGTCAGCTCAAGCTGCCGCAAGCTACTCAGACTGAGTGGTTTCAATAACAGAAATTTACCTCCTCACATTTCTGGGGGCCAGAAGTCCATAACCAAATAATCCTCTGACCTGGCTACTTCATAGACCTCTCTGGTGGCCACCTTCTTGCTGTGGCCTAACGTTGTCTTTATGCCCCTGTACATCCAAAGTCCTTGCTAGATCTGAATTCTCCCATGTAAGAATATCAATGAGACTATAATCCCAGACTTGTGGGAGACGGCCACAGGGAGATTGCAAGTTCGAGCCCAGCCTGGGCAACTCAGTAACAAAGGCCCTGGGTCCAATCTCTAGAGCAAAAAGAAGATCAGAAGTAGAACAAACACATTTGGATTACTGGATTAGGACCCATCCTGATTTATTAGAGGAGTAATTTCAGTCTAATTATTTCTTTAACAGTCCTGTCTCCAAATATAATCACAGTCTGAGGTACTGGGTAGGAATTAGGGTTTCAATGAACAAATTTGAGGGATGGCACAGATCATCACAGAGCAGGCAGTTTGTGTCATAGCTGGGTGACTCCATCTATCTCACAGCGTGGTATACGGGAATAATAAGAGAAGCCAGTTTTTGTTCCAGTTCAGCCACTAACTCACCATGGACCCTTGGGCAACCCTTTCTACTCTGAGGGACTTGGTGGAAATTCTCTCCAAGCCCACAGTGCCCACATAACCACCCAGACCCCTAATGATTCAGTTCATCTGGGTCTCATATGCAACCTTTCAGCCCTTGCCTGTAAACCATGAGCAACTACCGTGCCCCAGCTTCCTACTCCATGGGCACCCTTGCAATGACTGTCATCTCCGTGGCTACCATTTACAGAGTAACACCTGTGTCCCCCAGGGCAAAGGAATCGGTCAGCGAGCTTGGAGATGGTTAGGTAGCATTTCCAAGCTGGACAGTTGCTTAGATGTGCAAGGTCATTCACTCCCACAATGCACTTTCTCTAAAACAGTCTTTCTCTGTCACTGTGCTGGGCTTGTTTTTGTGTACCTGAAAAAATAGAATCTACTTCTAAATACAAACTGACTGTTGACTGTGACATCATAGGAGGGGCTTTGCCCAGCCTGGAGGTTGAGCTGCCAGTTAAGGAAACATACAAGTCACATTTCTCTTAGGAACAGGTTCTGGGTCATTTTCCTCTCTCACGGTGAGGTGCGTAAATGTGTTGATAACCATTGCAGTGCCCTTTGATCTATAACTTCATCTCAAAGCTAGAACCTATCTGTAGCCTCTCCACAATCAAAAAAATTTTGTCAAACATTTGTGCATAAACTCAGCTCAGAAATCATGGGGGAGGGCCTCTTCTCAATGTAATTTCTGGTTTTTTTTTAATTTCCTTAAGCACTAGAAATAACATAAAAAAAACTTTGGTAGATTTTTCTTTTCCATCTTCAAAAAATAAGAGGATAATAAACTGAAGTGTCACATATGAGATAATAAATTGACTCCAGGCCTCCAGGAGGGAACAGTTCTGGCCTTGAGTCACTCCCATCTGAGACTCCCCACCCTCCTTGCCCCAATGATGAGTCAGTCACATTTCCTCCACCATGATAGCACTGGATTAGGGACCAGTCTATTTTCAAAGCAACACAGAATTTACAGGGAGGCATTGGGGAGCAAACGTATCCATGGCACAGGCTCAACAGCAACATCCTCAGAGGACCTCGTGGGAGGGAGGCCTCGCTTCGTGTTGGAGTGACTCCCTCTCCTCCCTGGGTAAAAGTGGTTCATTGGAGTTCACTTGGATGTCTATGGAGACAGAGATTTAAGGAAGTGGTCACACAACTGCAAAGACTTGGTGAATCCAGCCAAAATCTAATGGGAGGAGCTGGGGATGTAGCTCAGTGGTGTAAGCGCCTGCCCAGCAAACATGAAAACATGAGATTGATCCCCGGTGCCAAAGGGGAAAAAAAAGGTCTAATGAGAGAGGCTGGTGGGCTGGTGGGGTGAACTAGGAAAGAGTCCTAGTTCAAGACCAGAGGCAGCTTTTTTGCCCTGGACAAGCTCAGTCTTTTTTTTTTTGGTCAGGCTGTCAACTGACAGAAGGAGGCCTGCCCACACCCCCGAGGATAAACTGGTTTTTCAGTGTCCACTGATTTAAACATTAATCGCATCCCTGAACCACCTTCACAGAAATATCCAGAAAAATGTTGAACCAAATATCTGGGCACCTGGCCCAGACACATTTTTCAACCTTTTAAAATTATATTCATTTATTTATATTTATCTGTGACAGAAGGTCTTGCTGTCTCAAGACTGGGCTCAGCTTGAACTTGTGATCCTCCTGCCTCAGCCTTCTAGAGTGCTGGAAGTACACACGTGTGCCACCTACCTAGTTACGAACCCACTCTTGCGTGCTGATAAGACACTGGAGAAGTTAATTAACCTGCAGAACACAAACACTTTGAGTGGAGAATGGGCTCGGAGTGGATGAATGAGTGGACCAGAAAATGTGCTTGTGCTCCAGCGAGGACAGGCTGGGACCTGGCTGATGCACTTTCCAGGATGTAGGAAGTGTGAGGCTCAGTGGCCGCCACCGTGGTCCCCACTGCTCTCCCCTGGGGAGAGGTGTGAGCTGTAACCAGGCCAGAGTTCCGGGGGCCCCCATGGGGCTGTGCCCCCCAACAGGAAGCTGCTAGGTGTGCAGAGGAGTTGATGAGACCGAGAAGGTGCCCTCCGTGCCGTCCAGGAGCTGCCTCCCCCGGAAGAGGTGCTTCCCCAGGGCCTCAGGTCTTCATTCCCACTGAGTTGAGGTCTCTGGAGTCTCACATCGCTGCACCACTGCAGATTGCACCTGCCTTAGCCTGCCTCAGCTTTCTGCTGTATAAAAGCCAGGATGCCGGGGGCTGGAGATTTAGCTCAGCGGTATAAGCGCCTGCCTTGCAAGCAGGCAGTCGTGAGTTCAATCCCTGGTACCGATAAAAAGGAAAAGGACAAAAAAAAAAAAAAAAGCTAGGATGCCCTGTGCCCCTTTCTAGAGCTAAGGTTCTCTGCCTGGGAGACCCACCCTTGGGCACTTCCTCCAAAGGCCCCAGGGAAACTGTGGCTCATGTTTAGAGACCCAAGTTTTACCGCTCCAGGTTCTGTGTCACCACCAGACTGTGGGTCCTGGGTTATTTCATTCCTATGATAAGGATGCTGTACAAAGTCATCTCCAAGCTCCACTCAGTTCCAAAACCCAGCAAAGATCAAGCAGTGCACCTCCAGCACTGCTCCCCACTAGCAACACTCAGACAATATCCCAAAGGATGGGGGAATTAACTAAGGGGACAAGAGCATAACCGAGTGTAAATGGCAGACTACAGGAGGGAAAGGGGTGAGGGTGGAATCTGATGCCCTGTTCCTTCCTCTAAGCCCCAGGGAAAGGGAAGAAAGGTGCTCCCGGCCCAGCATCTGCTCTGTAGACAGCTCCACAGGGTGAGGCCCTGAGTCAGCCAACTCCAAGACTTCAAGAGGAATGTCAAGACCAAGAGGTGCTGCTCTCATGCTACACAAAGGACAAAAAGACTCTTCCCAGGGGCTAGGGGTTTAGCTCAGCGGCATAAGCACCTGCCTTGCAAGCAGGTGGTCGTGAGTTCGATCCCCGGTACCGATAAAAAAGAAAAAAAAAAAAAAAAAAACAAGACTCTTCCCGGCTGAAATCTGCCCTACGTATATCTATGTTCAAACCTGCACTGCCCCAGCCACTGGCTCTGGCAAACTGGTGGCACTGGAAGCCTCAGTTTCTCCATCCACAAGAGGGGCAGCATCCTCAGCCTCTTCCCCGAGAAGCAGTGAACCGAAGTGAGAAAGAGATAAGGACTTTCACGGTGTCTGGTGGAGAAGGTGGGCTGACATGGGGCTGCTTGCTGTTGCAGTCTCTGTCACTGTGGCCTGAGCTTAGCAGACTTGTCACATGTCTCAGACCTGCTCTCAGACCCCGCATCCCGCTCCTCCGGACCTAGGAACTTTCCTCCCCATGTCTCTTGCTTTCTCTTCTCCAGCAGGAGGAGCAGTTTGGGCAGTGTGGAGAGAAAGCTGACACTCACTGACCATATCACCCAGCCTAGAGATTCTCTTGTGGTTCTTGTTTGGGGCTTGAGGACCTGGGTCTCTAACACATTTCCAGGTGATGTGAGATGCTGTCAGTTCCAGGAATTTCATTCCAGACATCTGACTGGTCTTAAAGTTCTCCAGATGGTTTTAATGTGAAGCCAGTATTGTGAAAAACTGGCTTAGATCTGCCAGGATTTATCAGTGGAACTAGGGATAAAAACAGTTTCCCTTGAGTCTAATTGGGGAGTAATGACTTTCCAAAGAAAATTCAGGACAGAAAGGATAAATGGGGCCAGGTAGGCTTTGGGGGAACCTGAAGGTCCCCATCGCTTTTGCTCCTTACACAGGTCTCGCTCCTTAGACAAGACTGCTCTGGGCAGGATGTGGAGACCATGGGCTCGTGCCCAGCCTGGCTGCTCCTGAGCCTTCTCCCTCTCAGCTGTACTCAGTGGGATGCTGCAGCAGCCAAAGTGTTCTCCCACCCACTGCCAAGGTCAGCGATGGGCATCCACTCTTGAGCAGGGCCAGAGGATCCTCAGAAATGACCCTGGCATCTCAGAGTTCCCACTACAGAGTCCAGGCCAGTCTGCATTGCTGGCCTTTGAATAATTCATTCTGCATTAAGCAGTCATAAGAAGAACAGATCTGGAGGGCTTTGGAGGTTTCTGATCAGGCAAAAAGAACCATAGTCACAGCAGAACATGGGTCAATTTTTATTTTAAATCCACAAACACACACCACCTGCTCCATTTCAGATACTGTACAATCTGTGCGAGAACACTGGGAAGACTATTTGTTAAACCAAAAATTCTATAAAGGCTCCTCAGAATAAGTTTTTTTATTAGTAACATGGTGACACAAAACTCTCCAGGCAAATACCATATATGAAAGCCACCGAATTTTCAGTGCCCTCAATGATCAAGGCTGAAAACCGTGATCTACAAGGCCACTCACAGACTTGGCGTTCACCCAGGAATTGGTTCACTACCTTGAATCCAGGCAATTTCTTATGAGTGTCAGTTTAGACACTAAGAACTCAACTCCCACACAAGGATGTCATCACCCATCATTATCAAAAACCAGAATTCTTGGTGCATAGTAGGTGTTCTGCATCATTTAACCCTCTCAATACTGTGCCTAGAAAAATCCTGAGAGCTTGAAAAGTTTAGGGACTTGCTCACAAGCACTGAGCTCATACCATGTGCAGTGATCTGCAAGTTTATTTCAAGTGCACCTTGAAGAGCTTGGCAGCTACAGCTCTAAACACCTAGTCTGGCAAATGTGTTTCTTCCACAGTCAGAGAAACGTCCCAGGTTCCCATCCCAAGATAGAGTAGGATAGCAAAGTTCTGATAAATCAAAAAGAGTGGGCATATATAGCCCCTTTCACGTGTTTATCCCAAATCCTCTCTTCCCTTCATGATACCAACCACATTAGAAGGAGCAGGCTACACAACAATCCAAATTTTCCCAACTGATGTCACTCAGTGAAACCTCATCAAACCTTGCTCTCTAGTTGCTTGGAAGAGGACACACATGTGGCCCACGGGGCATCTGGGGCATCCCAACAACCTGACTCCATGCAAAGGGCTGGAGGAATCAGCCTGACATCCTAGGGACGAGCTCGTGTCAGACTCTGGCTTCCACATCCCATTTCCCTGGTTGAATCCCAGGGCACCATGAAGCAGATGGCCAGCGGAAGTGCTGTGGGAGTTGAGACCCTGACATCCTGCAGTTCCTGGGCTGGAGGGGAGGAAAGGCTGTTTCCACTGGTTCAATGGAATGTTTCCTGAAGCAGCACATACGTGACCAGCTGCGCTGGTGGCTATGTGGGGTGCAAAGAAAAACAAGCAGAGTGAAAATGAACTCTCCTCACCTCACTGAGCTGTGAGAAACAGCACCTTATTTTGCTAAATCAAATTAAATGAGACCTCCTCCAGCCCCTACCATCTGGATGTTGGGCCGTTCACATCCCAGGAGTCCCACGG